CACACACACACATACACACAGTTACAAACACACACACACTGTATATACACTACTGGGTTGTACTATACATAAGGTTTTAACGAAAGTCTATTTTTAGAATATATATATCGACAGAATATTCTACATATTGTATAACATATTATATATTTATCTTTACTTTACTTTACTTTATATATATATATATTATTGGGTTTTACAGCTAAACTAAAACTACAGCTATTATCGCATTTCATGTCCTATTTCTCTCTCATTTTTATTTTTTCTATTAATAGTATTGCACATCATATCTCTCTCTCTCTCTCTCTCTCTCTCTCTTAAAAAAAATATTAGTATAGTGTAGACACACACATATATATTTAGAAATTAAATATATATATTTATATATAGCATATAATAACTCTATATGAAATCAATATATTATTTTTTTTTGTTTTTTTTGTTGTTGGTGATATATTATATATATAGATATATAAATAATATAAATTCATTTTTTATTTGTAATTTAATATCGATATTAAATTATTAAGAAAGAAAAAAACTAATATCATATAATGTATAATATATATATATATTTAAAAAAATACATAGTATTGTATTTATTAAACTATTTTAGGATTTTATATATATGTATATATAGTTTGTATATTACCTCAATAAATTAAATGTATATTATATTAATAAATTATTATATAATAATTATTTTTTTTTGTTTTCATGTTTCCTACTAAATATCTAATATCTAAAACAAAAATAATAAAATTAAAAAACAAAATTGTTTTAAACTTATTAAAAAATATTATTTCGTGTTCACTAACTATAAACTAAACTATTAAAAAACAAATATATATACACAAAACAAAAATTGTATAACAATTATACAATACATATCATATGATTGTATTATTACTGGTATATACTGTATATATATAACTTATCACACAATCATTAATCTAAATGATATTTACTACTAAACTAAACTTAATGTTTTATTTTATTAATTTATTTATTATAGACTATTAATTGATGATAATTTTTCATTTTCTTCACCATATATTACAATTAATTAATTAATTATAATAAATTTGATACTAATTTAATAATAATAATAAATACAAACCTCTTGTATAGGAGTACTTCCAGCGCTCGACTGGAAGCTCGAATGGTTGGAACCGCTCGGCGGTGACTCCGATAGGCATTCAGGTATACCATTGCCTAATAGATACAGATATTTATTGATATATATATAAGATATATAATGGTATATATTGTGTATATATATATATATATAAGATATAAAATGATATATAGGATATATTTAAAAAATAATAAGTTTCTCATTTAATTATATATTTATATATATATTATAATTATTTTTGTACATTGTTTTCGCAATTTTGCAAATTTATTTTTATTATTATTTAATTTCATAATTATTTATATACTTTATATATATATATATACTAATACATAATAATATTGCATAACACATTTTATGTATTTATATATATACTGTATATATATATATATATTAGATGATATAATGATATACAGTAATTGAATTTATTTTTAAAAAATTATCTGTTAAAATTATTTGTGTTGTATTTATGATGTTTTATACCCCTCTCCCCTCCCCTCTAATTAGTTTATTGTGCCAAAATATTTATAAATATACCTATATACAGTATATAACTATAATATATAGACTATACTGTAAATTTAAAAATAGATTTATACTATCATTATATTACAATTATTATTATTATTATTATTATTAGTATTAATAGTATTTAGTATTATTAGCGTATACTTTCAATTCAATTATTGTTAATATATTATAATATATATAAATATATATATATAGATATCTATATTTACTAATTATAATTAAATATATTATTACAACACCAAAAAAAAAACATACATTGCGTAAGCTCTATGCTAGGGCACCGGTATATACCGGGAGCACCAGTTTATACTATATATAATATATAAGCAGTATCAAAAAAACAACAAAAAAAACTAATTAATTAAATTTTATCAATCAATTAATTAATTAAGTTTTCCTTTAGCTATCACATTATAATTTATTTAATTATTTTTTTGTTGTTGTAAATAGTAGTAGTAGTAGTTTTTTATAGATAGTTAATAGTTAATTAATTAATTAATTAATATACAAAAAAAATTAATAAATTAATATTATTACATTATTTAAAATAATTATCATGATCATTTTTTGTTTGAGTTTGTGAGTATTATTAATTTAATTAATTAAAATTAATTAATTAATCAATTTTCATGCCATACTTGTTAGTGTTGACCGTCTCTTGAGAGGCGATGCCTTATCTTTACGTCTAAGCAATGGTGAACTGCGCCGTTGGATAACTTTGGCCTTTAGGACTGACCGCACCTTTAGGTTCGGCTCAGAAGCTGATGATATTATTCATTATTATTATTATTATTATTATTATTGAGTAGCAATAGTAGTGGTAGTGGTAATGGTAGTCATAGCCATCATCATCATCAGCAACAAAAACCATGCCATCAATAATCAAATCCAATACAATAAAATAAATGGCCGCCAGATTTAAGTGAGACCATAAAATATTACAGTAGTTAAGTATCGGGCGGTTTGGGTTGCATTTATAGAGGGGAGGGGGCGGAGGCAATAAAAAAACAAATCATGCAAATTGTTAGTTCAATACAACAATTCAATACACAATTTTTTTTTATTAAAATTAATTAATCATAATATATATGTTTGTTTAGTATATGTTAATAAGTTATATAAATTATAAAATTATTAATTATTTTATTTTGTTTATAAATATTTCAATATATATATATTGAAATATGAAAAATAAAGATTTCTTAGATTAAACATTTTTCCGTATAATAATAATTATTATTACTAATAAATTATAATCTATTAATCAAAAAAATATCCCACACATATACACACATACATACACACACACACACACACACATAGACATACACATAGACACACACACACACACACACATACTAACTAACTCACTCATTCACGCAAACACACACACACACACACACATACATACTAACTAACTCACACACTCACTCATTCACGCAAACACACACACACACACACACACACACTTACATACACGTAAACACATACATAAATAAAATCTCAATGTTATTGGAAAAAAATTTAATAAATTTGTAATTGATTTTAAATTGATTGATTAATTTTTTTTTATCATTTATATATATATATATATATGAAAGAGAAAGAGAGATAGACATACAGTGATAACTAAGTAATAATAAAAAAAATTAATAACCAACAAAAAAAACACCAGTGCTTACCTGTCTTTCGGAGGGGAAAGTCGTTTTCATATTTGCCAATAACTGGTTGCCTAATAAATCATATCATCGGCAACAACAACATCACACACACAGCGATAGAAAGAGAGAGAGAGAGAGAGATACAAAAATTTAATATATTATCAATTAATAATTCATATGACATAGTATAGGGTAGGGGGAGGGGAACTGTATGTATATATTGACTGACTGACTGACTGACCAGTTTCAAAATTAAAAAAATATATATATTATCAATTAATATGACATACTATAGGGTGAGGGGGAGGGGAACTGTATATATTGATTGACTGACCAGTTTCAATTTTTTTTTAAAAATATATTATCAATAAAATTCATATTACATAGTATAGGTTGAGGGGGAGGGGAACTGTATATATTGACTGACTGACCAGTTTCAAAATTTTTAAAAATATATATTATCAATAAAATTCATATGACATAGTATAGGGTAGAGGGAGGGGATCTGTATATCTATTGACTGACTGACTGACCAGTTTCTAGTGCCGGGAGTCGGCGGCGAATTGTTGGCACTATTAGCCGCAGCCGTCGCTTCTCTATGTTTTTTATTCAATACAAACTCCTGTAATCTTTGTTTGACTTCAGACGACGCTATAGCGCTTTGTTCGTGTTTTTCCTTTTTCTTCAACGATTCTAACTTTTCTTTTTCCATCCTTTCCTTTTCAACTCTTTGTTCTTCTTCGTATTTTTTCTGTTGTTCCAAATATTCCTAATCACAATTTTTTGGAGTGTGGAGTGGGTGAGTGGGTGAGTGGTGTGAGTGGGGGGGGGGGGGTTTAATTAGTTTTTTTGATGGGGAACGAGGTTTGTGTGTGGGTGTGGGTGTGGGTGTGGACGGGTGTAAACAAACAGAAACAAATAAATAAAGAGAGAAATATTATTTAGCATTATATTTATTGATATATATATATTATTATGTTGTGTGTGTGTGTGTGTGTGTGTGTGTGTGTGTGTGTGTGTGTGTTTGTATGTATGTATGTGTCTATATGTATGTATGTGTATGTATCTATGTGTGTGTGTGTGTGTGTGTGTGTGTGTGTGTATGTATGTATGTATCTATGTGTGTGTGTGTATCTATGTATGTGTGTGTATCTATGTGTGTGTGTGTGTGTGTGTGTGTGTGTGTGTATCTATGTGTGTGTGTATCTATGTGTGTGTGTGTGTGTGTGTGTGTGTGTATCTATGTGTGTGTGTATCTATGTGTGTGTGTGTGTGTGTATCTATGTGTGTGTGTGTGTGTGTGTGTATCTATGTATGTGTGGGAGATAGAGAGAGTTGCTAGACAATAATAACCAATTTTATTAATTTTTAAAGCATCCAGGATAAATAGTTAAGTATAAAAGATTTTTTTTTAATAATTATTATTATTATTATTTTATGTATTCAATTTATATAAAAGAAAAATAAAGTGTAATTGAAATCATATAAATTATATACAGTATATTGTTTATGAAATATAGTATACAGTAGTTTTAAAATATTGCATAACAAATTTTTTTAAATTTTATTTTTTTTGTAAACTTAAAAAATTCAAACATTCAACATAGCTAATTATTAATAAAAAATTTTGTTTTATTATATATATTTACAATTTAAGTATTGCACATAATATATGTATGGGTGCAATATTGTGTAAATACAAGTAATTGAAATTACAGGAAAAACTAATTTTTTTTTTTAAAATAAGAAAAATAATATCTAAAAATTTACTAATATTAAAAAATACAAAATTTCCAGTAATATTAGTAAATGATTAGTTTTATGTTTTATTTTATTTTTTTAATTTTATCTTTATGTTGTTGAGTAATCATATTAATTAATTTACACATTAATTATTGGTGTATCAAATTTTTTTTTGTATTGGAAAAAAATAAAAATAATAAAATTAAATTAAATACTCATCTACTACTAAAATATTAGATATATATATATATAATTGTATATTTAGCTAAATATTTGACCTTATATTATATAAGTTATAACTATTAACTATACTATAAATATATATATATATAATGTTTATAATAAAATTACTTTCATTATATAACTTAGTTTTATTTTACTAATACATATGTATATATATATATATATATATTGCCTGGGTTGTCAACCAAATGGTCATAATATATATATATATATATATATTGAAAATTAAAACTATATTTATATATAAATATATTTAATAAGATATATTAGATTCAATTTGTTGCATAACCCTTATGGTGTTTTTATTATTTAATTTTGCAGTAGCTAAATTAAATGAATAAATACAGTTATAACTAGTTTATACTGTAATTGTATAGTTTATATATATGAGAAAAAAATTGTAAATGGGTATTATATATCTATCTATCTATATATATATATATATATATATAAAACTATATGGTATAATTATAATGTTAATTAATAAATAAAAAAATTAATATATTAATAAAAGCTATTTACAGTATATGAAACTTATATAGAATTATATAATAATAATAATATTATTATTATTATTAAAATAATCAAAAAACTAATATCAATAATATAAGCAATATAAATTAATTAATATTAATACATTATATAATAATAATATTGATTAATTAATTATATAATATGATAATAATTAATCCAGATTGACTAACAAAATAAAAATAGAAATAAATTGCTTATTAAAAAAAATACTATTATATAATATGTAAGTGGGTGAGTAAGCTAATGAGTGAGTGAGTGAGTGAGTGAAATAAATAGATAGTTAAATAAAATAAATATATACTAAACAATAACAACAACAAAATATATCAATAGATAAAGGATAGTAAAGTGCTTAATGTATGTATGTATGTATGGGTATGTATAGATAGATATGTATGGATAGGGTATGATATTAATTGGGGGTAAAAAATAATTAATAGATTAATACCCGAATCCTTTCCTGCAATTGCTTCTCATGCTGTTCGGCCAACTGTTGTTGTTGTTGCTGAAAGTGCTGCAACAGTAGCTGCTGTTGCAGTTGTTGTTGTTGTTTCAATTGGATCAGCTGCTGCTGAAACTGGATGTGCTGTTCCTGGAGGGCGGCCGCCTGTGAACTGGCAGCGGCGGCAGCCGCTGCGGCCGCCGCTGCCGAATGACTAATATTGTTGGCCATTATATCGCGGCCAATGGTGCCGACACTGACGCCACCACCACCGCCGCCGCCTCCTAGTCCTCCACCACCGCCGCCACCACTCTCTTGTTGTATATAATTGACTGAACTTATTGTATCGCCTGATAAATAACAATACATTGTTTTATATAAATATATATATATATATTTAATTTGTTTGTAATTTTAGTTAAATTATTAAATTGAATTAAATTTAGTTTAGAAATCCAGTGATAATAATAATAATAATTAAATAATTATTTTGTTGTTGTTTTTTTTGTTGATGATAAAAAAGTTTTCAATAAATTTCTATAAATATATATTTTATATATATATATATTTGTAACAACTATATCATTATATAATTTTTATTTTATATAATAATTTTAAATTTAAATATAACTTTTTTATTAAATATAACACTGTTCCAACATATTTGCATTTATTATAACTTTTAACTTTTAATTTTTAAAATAAATAAACTAATTTTTTTTATATTAAAAAAAATGTATATGTATATTTTGTTTATCAAACTAATAGATTTAGAAGTTTTATTTTAATATTAAAATTATTATTATTATTATTAAATTTTATTAAACCAATAATATGTTTTTATTTCTTCAACATAAAAAAAATTAATAAATATGTTTTCCAATAATACAGTAGTATTTTTTTTATATATATAATAAATTTTTTCAATATAATATATGTATTAAGCATTAGTAATCTATTTAATATATTGAAATATATATATTATATATTTTTATTAATACAGGTATTTATTTATAATGATATATACATATGTATAGTACGTCTACTATTGTAGAAATATATATATATATATATATATACCAGTATATATTGTACTGTATAATAGTATATATCATTGTATTATTGTACATAACAATTGTACAATTACTTTAATAATCATCAATAATAATATCATTTTAGTTTATTATCATTATTATTATTAAATAGTTTATTTGAATGCAAATACTAGTTTAATGATATTTAAATAAAAATATATATATATAATGCAATTTTACTTTTGTAAACCATAATAAATTGCTAGTAAATTACGTAGATATATATATATATTGAATATACACTTTATAAAAAAAACAATATCCAAATGTCTATTAATCGTTTATTATTATTATTATTATTTTTGAATAATTAATTATAACTATATATATATAGTATTGTATATTGATATTAAATAGTATTATTTACACAAAATAAATAGATTAATAGAAATTTTTAAATATTATTAATATTATCATTGAAAACAATTTTATTGTTATATTTCATACACACAAATAATAATAATAATAATAAAATGCACTCAAAATAATAACACTTAAACAAACAAATTTTTAAATATAAAAAAAATAAAATAAAACTTTTACAACAACAACAAAAATAATTATCATTACAATAATCATAATTTTACGTAAAAACAAAAAATAATATAATATAAACTATGTACTAATCATTTTATTTATTTATTTTTTTTAAAAAAAATTGCAATAATAAAAAAAATTTTTGTCTATAATTTCTAGTAGATTATAATTATTTTGCAAATTTTTTTATTTAATAAATAAAATATTATAATTTATAATATAATGACTCGACAGCTTAGTTGAATAAGATATTAAAACAACTCCTATTATATATATATATATATATGTATAGTATAGTATAGTATTATAGTATTTTATACTGTATATATATATATATTAAAATTGATAAAAACAAATTATTGGTGTAAATAAATTTTTTGTTTAAAAAAAATACATATACAGTCATTCAATACAATGATATTACTGTTTCAAACTTAAACACACATATCTACTGATATTATTATTATTATTATTATTATTATTACTTATAAAATCAAAAAAAATCAGTTGTACAATCATATATATATATATATATATATTTAAACTTATATATATATACTGTATATAATTTAGTAAAAATAAGTTTATCATAAATTTTGTAAACGATTTGTAAACAGTTGTGTAAATAATTTATATACATATCTATATATACAATAAATATTACTATTTTTTTTCTCTCTCTCTCTCTCTCTGTGTATATATAGTATATATGAAGGGTTTTTACGAACCAGAAATAATATAAATAATAATTATAATTATTATTATTAATAAAAATAGATATTCAATAATCAGAGAAAAACATCAGAAAAATTTTTTGGACTTTAAGTTTCAAGTCCTCACATAAACATACAGTCCTTATGAGCTGTTATTTTGTGAACAGTTTTATGAAATGATAGATAAAATAGGCCTTTATTTTTAGTAGAGAGTGGGGGGGGGGATAACAAACAAATATGTTATCAGTTTTTTTTAAATTATAATATTTATTATATATATATATAAACAAATATGTTTATATAAATAAATAAGAAATCATAAATTTTAATATATATATATATATATATATTATAATTATTTATATACAGTATATATATACTCTATATAAACATATTTATAATTATTCAATATATATATATATATACTGTACTGTTTTATGTATTTGAATGTACAAATTAGATATAGTTATATATATATATATATTAATACATTTAAATATATATTTTCGTTTTCATTATAACATTGTAAACGAGATAAACAATACAAAAAAAAATTGATATTCATCTCAAATTGTACAGTCAGTATCCCAATGAATGTGTATAAATTAAATAGACTATTATATATATATATATATATATACTGTATATATTATATGTATTTAATATACTATATATATATATATTTATAAATAACACTACAAAAAAAATCGATACACAAATTGCATTTTTTTCAGTCATTTATATAAATTATAATTATGTAATAATAATATACTGTATATATATATATTTATATATGTTTTTTCACTCACACTATAAGCTATATTTAGACTTCACATTTAATTTATAAATTAAATGCTATTTTTATCGCACAAACACACACACATACAGTAGAGAAAAATACCACAAAATATATAATAATAATTATAAATAGTATTGTTTAGCAAAAGTTTACAAATATATTATTATTATTATTATTATTATTACAATACTAAATATACAGTATATTAAATGTAGAAAATATATATATATTTATTAATAACTAAAACAGTATTAGTAGTACAGTAGTAGTAGTAGTTATGTATAATATTACTTAAATACATAATATTATTGATAATATATACATTAAAAATACTAATAATTTAATGATTATCGTTATTATTATTTAAAATAAAACCAAAAAAAATATATATAACAAATAAATACCTTTTCTTTGTATATGATTGTAATGACTATTAATTTCCATAGTATTCAAACCAAATGATTGATGGGATTCAGTGCTCAACAATGAGTCTAAAATATTATTTAAGATTAAAACAAAAAAAAAAATAACATCAAAAAAATAATAATAATAATTAATATGTAAAATATTTATTATTTTTTCTCTCAGTCACTAATAATTATCATAATTATCATAAATATTTAATTATGAAAAATAAAATTTTTTTAAAAAATAAAATTATAATAATGTAATTATTTGTTTTTCAAAACTATAAATATACATATACTGTATATATTGAACTATTATTTTTATAATAATAATAATAAAAAAATTATGATATAAATATACTATGTAGGGTATTTACAAGTGATAGTAACAATATATATATATATAAGTGATAATGGTGTTTTTCTAGATTATTATTATTATTAATAGTAGTAGTAGTAGTAGTAGTAATATTATTATTATTATCAATTGAATAGGCAATTAACTAATAATAAGTTTACATATATATATATATATACTGTATATAAAAAATAAAAATTAATTCAGATATTGTATAAAATAAAAATTACTTAAGAAAAACACTTAACACCACTACAACTACAATAATATTTATATCAATTATAAAAAAATTTTATACAATATATTTTAACTTAATATCAATAAATATATATATTGTTAATTAAAAAAAAATTTAATGTACAGTACTGTGTGTGTGTGTGTGTATATATATATCATTAATGTTTAATTAAAATATATTTATAAATAAATTTATTTATATATATATATATATTGTATTTTTTTCAACAACACACACACACACACACATAAAAACATGTGACTAACTTATCTCAATTATCTTCATGGCTATTAATAGACGATACGTAATAATAATAATAATAATGATTTTAGTTATTACTGTATTATTATAATAATATTATATTATTTAAATATATATACAGTATAGAAAAAATAATAATAAAAAAATTGTTAAAATATTATACACTAGCACACAAAAAAATAATAATTTTTTTACTATAAGCCAAGTTTCAATAATATTAATATAAACTATATATATATATATACTGTAATATAAATGTGTTTATTATAGTTATTTATTTTTTGATGAATAATAATAAGAAACGGCGCGTTAAAAATAAATATACAGTAAATACTTGTATATATATATATATAAATATATTTACACTTAAATAATAATAAAAAACAGTCAAAAAAAATGTTTGTTCAGACGTGTACTTTATAAATAGATTTATATATTTTTATTTTATATATATATATATATATATTTTGGTGAAAAATATCATACATAGTAAGTAAGTGTGTGTGTTTGAATATAAATATATATATATATACACACTAAAACAAAATAGCATTCAAAAATATATATATATATATATATCAATATAATTCAAGTCCCATCACTATTATTATTATTATTATTATTATTACAAAAAAATAAATAAATAAAACAAAAGAGAGAGAGAGTATAAAAAATATTTTCACTTATAATATATATATGTTTCACTCTCTCTCTCTCTCTCTTTCTTTCTTTTACTTTTTAATTAATTTATATATAAATATATCTAAAATATTTTTTATATAAAAAAAATTGTAGTAAAAAATATTTGTTGGTATTTGTTGAGAGAGATAGAGATAGAAAAAAATTATGACAAAAAATAAATACATTTAATAGTCAATAATCATTACTTTCCCCCAAAAACACTGTGTGTGTACTACTAAATGATTGAAGTGAAAACGTCACCACAATATAAATATATATATACTAAATATTTTACAATATAATTAAGATAATAATTTTATTATATTTAATATTATTATTATATATTATATATTATAAGTTACAGACACACACACACAAACATATTAGTAGTAGTAGTAGTAGTAGTAGTAATAGTTATTGCAATTAATAAGCAACAAAATTAAATGATAGGGCAGTTATATACTATAACTAAATATTATATATATATAGTATTTAATAATATACAGTACATACACATACACTATATATATATATATATTGATATATTATATGTATACTGAATAATATTATATAGTTTTATATACTGTTACTACAGAGTGTATATTATAAATGATATTATTATTATTATTATTGAATAAAAATATATTGAATAGAGAGGCGGTCTCCCAGTGTCTCACAAATAATAATAATAATAATAATCGGCAAATACAGTACATCTACTATTAATACTACTACTACTGTCATAAAATAAATGTTATTATGTATTACTATTAATAATAATAATATGTTTTATTGTTATTATTATTATTATTATTACTACTACTACTACTATAATATTATCAAGATCAATTCAAACCTAAGCATATATGGATATATAAGTAATAAAATTAATTATAATTATAATAATAATAATACTTTTTTTTCCTTATAGTATATTGCATTATAACAAAACAAAAAAATAACATGTCTTTATATATAGTATATTAATGTATATATATATATATATATATTAATATATATTGATTTAATATATACATTAAATATTTTACTATATTTATAATTCATAGACTATCAATATATATATATACTGAATTTTACGATACAATATACTGTAGTATTAATATATAGTACCGGTATATATATATATATATAAATTTATATGACTTACAATAATAATAATAATATCTTATAATATATATATATACTAATATGATATATATGTCTATTTTTATTCCTAGTTTTCCTAACATTATTAATAATATTTTTTATATATATATATGACTTACATTATACTGTATATATATATATATATATGTACAGTATGTGTATTATCTAATAGGCAAATAATAACAACAACAACAACAACAACAACATTACTTAGATAAAAATAGCGACAAAAATACCTATAGTTTCCAAGACAACTGTCCATTATATCATATATATATATATATACGGTATATATTGTTGGGTCTCAAAAGATATATATATATATATATATTTATATATAATATTTTATCCTCAATAGTATTATAAAATAATAATAATAATAATCAAAAAAATATAAATATAAATCTTATATCAATATATATTTATCTATTATATTATTTGGTGAGAGAGAGAGAGAGAGAGAGAGAGAGAGAGAGAGAGAGAGAGAGAGAGAGAGTATAACTTTATATATATATATATATATTGTAGTACCACTACATACCATTAAAAAATTTATTTTTTAAGTGCATGGATGATTTTTAAAAAAAATAAATAAATATTTTCTACTTTAATAAATTGAACAACAAAATAAATAAATAAATAAAAAAAATAAATAATATTTTTTAAAAAAACATAAACAAGTCTTTAAATTGATTTTTTATTATTGAGCATGGTCATTAGTAAATAAATAACTTATATGTTTTTTATTATATACACATTATATAAATAGATTATATATATATATATATATATATATATTAAAAAATAAAATAAATAATAATTAATAATTAGATGGTTATTATTGTAGAAATATTAGTTATTTATGAAACAAAATTATATTAAATATATTATTATTTAATTATCATTATTTTTATGTAAAAAATCTCATTTATAATTAATTGTTATTATTAACTGTCTAATCAAAAAATAAAATAAAAATTACTTTAGCTAGTTTAAAATATAAAATTATACATTGTCATCCAGTACAAATTGCAGTAATATCATATCATATATACATATATATATATATATATATTCAGTACAGTTATTTACTGTATTATTTTTTTTAAGTATATGTAAAATTTATGACAATTACAATATTTATGGTACAACAAACCTTGATAACGAAACGAAAAATTTTTTTATTAAATAAAAAATAATATTTTTATTATTTTAATTTATTATAACTTACTTGAATGTACTGTTATATATATATATATATTAATATATATAAATATTATCTTAAATAAATTTTTACTTAATCATTTAAAAAATACACCTAAATATCATTATTTTTTTCTATAGAAATTATTGCATTTTCAATACAAATAGGATTACTATTAAATTATTATTATTATTATTATTATTTTTATTATTATTATTATTATTATTATTATTATTATTTTTATTATTATTAAAAATTATTATTATTATTATTATTACTAAAATTGTAAATAGTGTAAATAGTAAATACCTAATCTCATCATGGTTCCCTCACTTATTAATAAATAGATAATTTTTTTAAAATATATATATAAATATATATTTATTTATATTTAATTGATTATAGACTTTAGACTATATTTTTCTAACTATTTCTAATCATTTCATATATATATATATATATATATATATATTTGTCAAATATATTAAACAGCAATCAAAATGAAAACAAAATTTTTGAAAAATACTGTCGATATCTCTCTCTCTCTCTCTTTCTCTCTCTCACACAAGTAATAGGACTTTGAAACATATCATTGAAGTGTCATAATATCATAATACATGTAAACACATACAGTATTAATACTGTATATATATATAATATAAATACATCACAATATACGTAAATATCCATAGAAAAAAATTTAATACATGTTTTTCTCATATTAGATAATAATAATAATAATACAGTAATAATGATAATAATTAATCTCTAAATTTATATATATATATATATATATATTAAGCAAGCGTTTAGCAAATTAAAAAATAGTTGCCAATAAATATATACTGAGAATTATTATTATTATTATTATTTAATAAAATAAAAATATATATATAAATTTAATATATTTAATAGTTATATACATGTACAGTATATATATATATATATATATATATAATGCATTTTTAGGCATCCCAAAAAATAGGCGTATCCTATTACATCATTTGTTTGGTTATCTACAATAATAATAATACTAATATATTGAAAATTACATTATATATATATATATATATGAAAATCGTTACATTATTATTATATATGTGTGTTATGATCATACACACACACACACACACACACACACACATATATATACTACCAATTATATATTGATATATAATAATAATAATAATAGTTTATGAATCATTAGCTTAAATTCAAGTGAATTGATGCCATTGGAGACAGTGGGGACTGT